TTTCAATGTTAAAAAAAATGACCTGATTTTTGACCCTATAACTTTCAAAAACACTATAAAACTTGTACATGGGGGTTACTGTTATACTCGGGAGACTTTGTTGAACACAAATATTAGTGTTTCAAAACAGTAAAACGTATCACAACAATTATATCATCAGTGAAAGTGCTGTTTGTATGTGAAACATGCAAAAAACTTCACTTTCATTGACAATTTTATCGCTGTGAAATGCTTTACTGTTATGAAACACTAATATTTGTGTTCAGCGAAGTCTCCTGACTAAAACAGTACTCCCCCTATGTACAGGTTTTAGGGTGTCATAGAAAGTTACAGAGTTGAATACAGTGTGAGCAAATTAAAGGACCACTATAGTGCCAGGAATACCAACTTGTTTTCCTGGCACTATAGTGCCCTGAGGATGCCCCCACCCTCAGGGTCCCACTCCCGCCGGGCTGAAGGAGGAGGAAGGGGGTTAAACACTCACCTTTCTCCAGCGTCGGGATTTGGGGACTCTACTCCTTCTTCTGACGTCATCGGCTGAATGCGCATGCGCGGCAAGAGCCCTGCCCGCGCATTCAGTCATTCCATAGGAAAGCATTCTCATTCTCATAGGAAAGCTGGCGTCTTCTCACTGTGAAAATCACAGTGAGAAGCAAGGAAGTGCCTCTAGCGGCTGTCAATGAGACAGCCACTAGTGGCTGGATTAACCCATATGTAAACATAGCAGTTTCTCTGAAACTGCTATGTTTACAGCATGCAAGGTTAATCCTAGATTGACCTGGCACCCAGACCACTTCATTGAGCTGAAGTGGTCTGGGTGCCTATAGTGGTCCTTTAAATTCTCTGCAATCAATAAAATTACTTAATTATGTAAAAATATGACATAAATACGCACGTAGAATTTAAATATACGTATTTCTATATTTGAAGTCTACGTATATTTATAAAATTATTTATGCAATTGTGTATATGTTTTATATATATATATATATATATTTAGTATTATTTAGATTTATTTATATATACATAGATGTATATATAATTTCATTCTAAGTGTATTTTGATATATATATATATATATATATATGTATATATATATTAAAATCAAAATACACTTAGAATAAAATAATGTTTAAAAAATTTAATTATTTTTAAATTTTAAAATTTATTTTAATTTACTTATTTGTATTTTATAATAATATATACAATATTTATATAGTTATTATTTATATATTATATATACGTGTGATATTTAATAAGTGTATTTTTATATTAATGTATGTAATATATGTATATATTAATATAAAAACATACTTAGTATGATATTATATATATATGACATATAGACATTTATTATATAGATATATATATATATTTATATATAATAAATTATATTTTTATTTATTAACAATTTTTTTTTTCAATTTACACATGCAGGGAGACTGCCTGTCAGTTCAGGCAGTCCCCCTGCAGGCAGATACTTGGACACCTATTGTGGCCATGTGACTGCTCTGTTGAGCGATCACATGGCCGTGGGAGACTGCCTGGGCTGTCAAGCAGTCTCCCCACACCAGGAGCAATGCCAATCGCCACCGGGGGAACGACGGCGATCAGGTAAATACATAATACCGTTATGAGGGTTTAGGACCGTCACCGGTCCTCAAGGGTATTTTCTGATGACGGTCCTGAACCATCACCAGTCATTAAGGGGTTAGGATACTCTTCACTCTACACAGTTCACTGTGTGCTGCACACACTGGATTGAACACTAAGGAAAAACAAAAATAATTTCCATTCTACAAAGAGTTAAAAAAGGAACTGTTGTGGTTACTTGTGTAGTGAGCTAGACTTGTGCACAAATCATTTTTATCTGCAACAAATTTATCAAATTCATGTTAATCTATGTTGAAATTAAAATACGGTCCTGAATTTATGTGATGAATCGTTTGAATCAGACATCGCAGGTAAAAGTTTACAGTAAACTGCTACAAATTGCATTGTAATTTGCAAATCATAAATAGTGGTTCTGAAGCATGCTGGAAAATTGAAAGTCAAATGATCTGTTTCTCAGAAAAATAAAATACAAATTAGTAAACCAAATCAATCAAATTCAGTGAATGAAACTTGGCGTATGTGTAAGTGGCACTGTGACACTAGCAGTGTCTAAGCAAAACAGTTATCTAAACACAAGGAGACGAATTGCAATTCAGCCAAACAAAAATGCACAATTTTCACCACCAAGATTCACCTTTATAGCAGTGTGTATGCAGAGAAGTAGTCTCTAATTAACTGTACTAGGAATGCTGGAAAGGTGTTGTTCCTTACAAATTATCCTTTGAGCTTGGTTTTCAGTAAAAATAATGCTATCAGCAATTTTAGCTTCTGTGAGTATATTCATAAGAAAAAAATATAAATTTCCACCCAATAATATATTTACAAACAACATTTGAAAGATGTAGCAATATATTTGTAATATTTTGAACTTTTAAATTACACCAGTGTCTATGTTGTGTTTTTATTTCATTCATCAAAACTAACTCAACAAATTGTCACTTCTACAGAGCCAGCAGAGCTTTCTTAGAGCAGAAGGCAGGTTTATTATTAGTACCAGCAGATGTGTAACATACAGGGCCGGCCCGTCCATAGGACTGTGTGTGGCAATGGCCCCAGGCGGCACTTGGACAGGGGCGGCATTTGCCACCACTGCATGCCACCCATGGGCGTCACTAAAAGGGGACAAGTGAACAGGCCCAGGCACAATGAGGTGGGGGCGCCGCATGGGCCAATCTCTGTGACCGGGTCCCAAAAGGTGGCCACGGGTGCCCCCTGTAAGGAAACCTGGTATATGTAATCCTCATTCGGTAGTTTCCTCCCGAACCGCCAGAGCATCAGTGAATATAGCTCTCCGTTCGGTAGATGAAATAGATGAACTGTATAGTAATCCAAATAGCTTCATAAGATTATTCCCTTAATAAAGCACACGAATCCCCAAACATCAGCTGAAGTCTAGAAGAAGGGTACAACGGAACTGAGCTTTAATGATCACACACAGGCTTTTATGCAAGTCCCCATGCAAGGGGACATCCCACAGGGAGGGACAGAGTTTAACCAATCCGACACAGTAAAATCATAAAACACACCCAGTACACACATACAATTCCCTCCCCTAGTCCTGGAGATAATCAAGTCTGATAAAGTAATAACTTGATTATCTCCAGGCAGAAAAATCACAATTTTCCCCAATATCTGGAACACCCCTTTATACATGAGGTATCCCCACAAATAATATGTCCCCTGATAGCCCCAATCTTGGTCACCAACATATTCAAATTTCACCCAGATCGGTTCAAGGGTTCTCAAAAAAGGTGGAAGTCTTCTGTGACCGACTAACCGTGGGCTGGCTGCCCAAAATACTCCCATGAGTTTGGGTGGTTTTGCCGGTCACTTCAGTAAAGGGGAAAAAAATGAATAAAATTCGGTAGTACGAATGCTGACCGCACAGATAGAGGGGTTAAGTGACGAATCCTTTGAAGCTTAATGAGCTAGGGGGTGGTCTTTGTTTGGTAGTTAGATCTACCGAATGAATAAAGGTGAACTAAGGTGAATAAATAGGGATTTCTTCACACCTCCAGAGTGGCACCTATTCAGCAAGGCAGAGTAGGCACCTGCTTACCCCACATGGCAGGTGCCTATTTTGCCTAGAAATAACGTGCTGTGGGGGAGAGGAAGGCAGCCGGCAGCAAGGGAGCTCTCACAACTCTGAGGCACTTCCTGTACCTCTTAGCTCCCTCGCATGCCCTCTGTAATAATGCAGGACGCCAGAATGTGATGTCATTCCGGCCCCACATCACTAAACAGCACGAGGGAGGAGAGAGGAGCAGAAAGAACATCGAAGCAACTGGACCCCATGGAGAGGACTATTAAAGGTAGGGAGGCCTGTTGGCCTAAAAAATTCATTTAAAAAATCAACAAAAAATATAATTAATTTGTGAGTATGTCTGCAAGAATGAGTAAATGTAAGAGTGTGCCTGTCAGTGAGAGTAAGTGTGTCTGTCATTGTTTGTCTGTCAGTAAGAGTAAGTGTGTATGTCAGTGACAGTGTTTATTTGTCTGTCTGTGTGTCTGTCAGTGACTGTGTCTTTGTGTGTTTGTCTGTCAGTGTGTTTGTCTGTATGTCTGTCAGTGTGTCAAATCAGTGAGTGTGTGTCTGTCAGTGAGTGTGCCTCTATCAGTCAGTGAGTGTGTGTGTGTCAAGTCAGTAAGTGTACATCTGTCAGTATGTTTGTGTGTCTGTCTGTGTGTGTGTGTGTGTGTCTGTGACTGTGTTTGTCAGTAAGAATGTGTGTCTGCCAGTGCATGTACTTGCCAGTGCGCGTGTATCTGTATGTCTGTCAATGAGCGTGTCTCTATTAGTCAGTGAGTGTGTGTGTCAAGTCAGTAGGAGTGCGTCTGCCTGTCAGTATGTGTGTGTGTCTGTCTGTGAGTGTGTCTGTTTAGGTACTGGTTCCCCTCTGATATCATTGGGAAACCTTTTTACCCAGGCCGTACCGGTCTTGTAGTGGGTGGTCCTGCCTACATGGCTGAGCTCATCAATCTTGATGATCTTAGCCAAACCAATGCTTTCCCAAAGGAAAACATTGGGAGCTATTGCACATGCATGGAAAAAAAAACGCTCCCCGTATGCTAATCAGCATGGAATCAATGCATCTCTATGGAGAATGAATAGCGAATCCATGCAGAGCATGGAGACACTGAATGTAGGTGATGCACATTGTAGCACTGGACTAGGAAGCACCTCTAATGGCCATCTGAGTGGTAAACACTGCCTTATCTCTGAACAGTTACAACAGTTCCGGTGATTACAGTGTCCCTTTAAACCAGGAAAGCCAAATATTGTGAAACTACAGCTCCCGGATGCTTTACCAATAATGATGCCGCGAACCGTCCGCAAACTTGCCGCGAATGGTTCGCCACGAACCGTTCGCTGCGAACTCCGGTCAGCTGACACATCCCTGCCAATCTCCAGCAGACCCTCCCTCCCAGACCCTCCTACTTCCTGGACAGCATCCATGTTGAAGGCAGCTTCAACATGGATGCTGTCCAGGAGGTGGGAGGGTCTGGGAGGGAGGGTCTGCCGGAGATTGGCAGGGATTGGTCAGCTGACCGGAGTTCGCCACGAACGGTTCGTGGCAAACGGTTCGCGACATCACTATTTACCAACATTAGGCCGGCAAAACATCATGGAATTTGTAGGTCTGCCATACTTACATTTGGCCACCCTTGGCTTTAAAATAGTTCCATACATATAAGTACAGTTTCTACTTGTAAGCACTTGACTTGCCATCCATATAGAGTGAATCAGCTCATTATTGAGTTTCATTTTAGTTTTTATTATTATGACACAGGGGTTGTCAACCTGGTCCCTACCGCCCAATAGTGGGTGATTCAGGCTTCTAGATGGGCTTTCAGATGGACGGTAGTGGGTTCTGCGTAAAATGCCCGGCGGGCAGGGCCCGTGCAAGGATTTTTGCCGCCCTAGGCAAAAGTAAAGTTTGCGGCCCCCCACCATGTGACATCACAATGCCCCACCCATATGATATGCCATGTTAACTAACACCAGTGCTGCAGTGCCGCCGTGTTTACATTAAAAGGCCTGCAGGGACAGGCTATAGACACCAGGACCAATACATTAAGCTGCAGTGGTTCTGGGGACTATAGTGTTTCTTTAATGTGAGGTAATTAAGAGATTAGTGCCACGAATAATATACTAGATTGCCTACTTACAACCAGATGAGGATGCTGATGGGCTCTAGCTGCAGTCTGGCTCCACTGGTCTGGTGTAGAACAGGCTCTCTGGAGGCTGTTTGTAACTGTGGTCACAAAAATCAATGTTCTGGGAGAACGGGAAGCAGCTCCATTTTTTTTGGGCCCTTTACACAGCTCAAGGTCTGGGTCCCAGGGTCCACCTTCATGTTCCACCGATGAGTTTGTTCACAGGGGTGGAGTGTGTAGGAGATGTCCTGATATGTGTGTAAGGAATGCATTGTGTGAATCTGTGTTTGTATGTGTAAGGGCTGCAAGGTGTGATTCTGTGTATGTACGGGATGCAGTGTGTGTGTCTGTAAGTCGTGCATTGAGTGTGTGTAAGGGGTGCATTGAGTGTGTGTAAGGAATGCATTGTGTGTTTCTGTGTGTGTAAGGGATGCATTGTGTGTAAGGGTTGCATTGCTTGTGTGTGTGTGTCTGTGTGTGTAATGCATTGTGTGTTTTTCTGTGTGCAAGGGGTGCATTGTCTTTGTGTGATTGTGTGTGTGTGATGGATGCCAATCTATCCCCCCTCCCTTGTCATGCTCTTCTCCCCCCTCTCCCTCCCTTGTCACTCTCCCCCTTGTCACTCTCTTTCTCCCCCCGTTGTCACTTTCTTTCTCCTCCTTCCCCTGTCACTCTCAACACCCCCTGTCAATTTCTTTCTCTCCCTTGTCAATCTCCCTCCCTGTCAATTTCTTTCTCCCCCTCCCTGTCAATTTCTTTGATCTCCCTCCTGTCAATTTCTTAACCCTCCCTCCCTGTCAATTTATTTCTCCCCTCCTGTCAATTTATTTCTCCACCCTGTCAATTTATTTATCCCCCCTCCCCTACCTCTGTTGTAGCGTGGCCGAGCCCTGTATGGTCCACGGGTACAGGGAGCTTTTGTTTCCTGTACCCGGCCAGACTAAAAGGAAGTGCACACTCAGTAGCCGGGTACAGGAGACAGATGCTCCCTGTACCCGTGGACCATACAGGGCTTGGCCACACTACAGTGAGGGAGTGACAGGAGGGAGCGCTGAGCGCTTCCCTCCTGTCAGCCCCTCTCCTCATGCTGCGCCCGGGCGGTGTGCCCTCATAAACGCACCAGCCCAGGCAAAGCTGCAGCCGCCTGAGGCTCTCTACAGAGCGCTCGTGCGGCTGCAGTATGAGGGGAGCTGCCGCTCCTGGCAGCGCCCCTTCCCAAGGGGCACCCTAGGCGGCTGCCTAGTCCGCCTAACAGGTAGCGCCGCCCCTGCCGGTGGGCCAAGATGCGCAGGCCGGCAGGGAAGTTCCTTTCCAGCCCATTCAGAGCCAACCTTGATGTGAGCCCTCTCGGGCCGGTGAGAAGATCAAACTTTTAGTTCCATCAGATGGAGGGAATGGCCTGGTAGGCTCTGTGTTCCTCCGTGTGTTACCATGACAACGCTCCAATACAGTGCTGTGATCGTGGGAGGACAGGAGAGTTTGCTTGCAGCCAGAGGAGCTGCAGTCTAAAGTGCCACCACTGGACTACCAGGGCTTGCAGTGTTAATGTTCACCTGCCTGACAAAGGTAAGAAGAAGGGAGACAGAGACATTAAGCTGGATTTGCACATCTCATCCACCTACACACAACATAGATCTTTTGCACCCCTCACACACACACAAGAACACACTGCCCCTTCACATACACACACAGCCACTCACACACACACTGTTCACTCACACTGCCCCCTTATACACACACACACACACACACACACACAAACTTCCCCCTCATGCACACACACTGCCCCCTCACACACACACACACTGCCCCTTCACACACGCACACTGCCACTCACACACACACACACACTGCCCCTTCACACACTGCCCACCTCACACACGCATTGTCCCCCTCACACATACACAGTCCCTCATGCACACAACCCCCTCACGCACACTGTACTCCTCTCACACAAACACTACCCCACACATACACACACTGCCCCATCACACACTGCACCCCAACCCTCACCCAAACACACACACACACACCTTTTTCTCACACAGTGCCCCCTCACACACACTTTACCCCTCACACAAATCCACACTGTACCCTCAAACACCCACTGCACCCCACCCCTCACACACTGGCCCCTCTAACTCTCACACAAACTCACACCACCCCTTACATACAAACAGAACCCTCCCACACACAGCACACTACACCTCTCAAACACATTTCATCCCTCACACAGCACTCCTCATACACACACTGCACCCATCACAAACACATATATCAAAATAATAAAGCAGAAAATGAAAAAAAAATAGCTAACTTTAAGCACATATTTAAAAAAAAAAAAAACCCTCCTTTCTAAAAAAAAATTGCTCTTGCGCTAAACAATTGAGTTACTATGGCACCAGTGGGCGATAAGGACATTTTACCATAAATAAAGATACAAAAGTGGGCACAGGGTATTAATATGTTGACTACCCAAAATCTAACATAATTAATGTGTTCGTGTTTTTTATGCCCTGTTATATATATATATATATATATATATATAAAATAATACTAGAATTTGCACTCCTACCTCCAGCCAAATGACACCAGGTGCCTAGCCACACTATAAGCAGTAGGAAAATAGAAAAATTGGCCAGCACTCCTGGATTTTCAGTCAGGAAATTTTATTGTCATAAAGGTCGACGTTTCAGTTCCCAATAGGAACTTTCATGAGGACACTTTTCTTGTGTCCTAATGAACGTTCATATTGGGAACTAGAACGTCGACCTTTGTGACAATAAAATTTCCTGACTGAAAATCCAGGAGTGCTGGCAAGTTTTTCTATTTTCCTAAATAGGATTTCCTATGAGAAGTCGTTTATAAAGAACTTGAAAAAAACCAACTCCCAGTGTTTTAAGTATAAATAAAAAGCCTGATTCTGTTCCAAGCTGGTGATAGGAATTAAGGAAATGTTTCATGCACTCACAGATCTTGGTGAAACTTAATTTACTGGTTCTGGTCATCAAGTTCTTAGATCTCTTTGCTAACTTTTTTCAGAATGAACTTTGGATTTAATCAACTTAAACTGAAGTGTTTAAAGTCTGCTATTTTAGTATGAATTTGGATACAGAGCGGCCATCGGGGTGACAGCCACGGTTGTCATGGGCCCGACCCTGTATGTCTGTTTATATCTGTGTGTCAGTGTGCACCTCAGTGTATGTGTGTGTGTGTGTAACTATGTGTCAATTTGTGTATATATATATATATGTGTGTGTTTAACTGTGTGTCTGTGTATTTGCATGTATGTCAGTGTGTGTGTGTGTGTGTGTGTGTGTATGTATCTGTATATGTGCATACACTAAACACAAATACACACCTACATTTAAACACCAACAATCACATACACACATACTCCAAGCAAAAATATGCTTACATTCAAAAACACACACAACCTTGCAAGAATGGACAAATTGTAGATCCCCAGCTAGCAAAGCATTCTTGGACTTGTACAACAGATGCTGATCTACATTTTGGCCACTTTACAAACACTGCATCCATCCACTAAACACACACTGTGCACGGACTACACACACACAGGCTCTGCATTCACTCATACACACTGCATCCTTGTGTGCAAATTCAGGGGCGGGCCTGTGGGCAGACTCATGGGTGGGCTCTGTGGGCCCAGACTTTGAGTTTTGTCAGGGGTCCCAAAATTTCTGAAGGCAGCCCTGTTTGGTTTTCAACTCACAACATTTAAGAAATAGGCTCTAATATTTACGTACAATTACCAGATTTTAGTATTAACATGGTGTAAAGTCATGATTTATTAATGACAGAGGTGAGTATTATGCATTCTCTTTCTTTATTTACTCCCAGCAGCAAGGAAGGAAGCATGATTGAATCATAGAAAAAACATGATAGCATAGTAACACTGACACCAATCAGAATCCAGTACTGTCCATATGGGTGTGGTTCTCCTTGACTCCTCCTCTATCTGTGTAGATCCCGAAGGCCATTATTGTAGGGTCCAAAGTATTCCAACAAAAAACTCTAGTTATCTAAACAAACACATATCCAGAAATTCAACTAGGAAAAACAGAAGGTGTATTTAAGTTAGATGAGAAGAAAATATATATTGAAATATCTAAAGCTTGCGATTGTTAGTCCACTACTATCAAACTTGTCAACCATGTTAATCAATCATTATTAAGTATCATAAGTTATATTTATCGGATGCATTACCTACCTGCATGACATGACACCAGTGGAAACTGTCCCACAATTTGTGCCCCAGCCATGTAAGCTGGTGTCCGACTCTATGATCAGATCTGGCGTAGACCCAAATATTGCCCGTCTGTTCCACGCCTTCATGTGGGCTAGCCACCATGTCAACTCCTCT